AGACTGTATAGACAATGCATTTCCATCATTCAAACGTGTTCTATTGGACAGCCCTGTTTCATAACTTCAGGGAAATTTGTTCTTCAAAATTTTAGGATGAGATTGTATAGTTAGTTATCATATTGTCAATACAGAACTGTACTGAATTTAATATTAGCTTTCTCACTTTCATTATATCCTCTTATCAAGTTAAGAAAGATATCTCCATTTTCTCCAGGGCAATGGAGAATTTGGCACTTCAAGAATCCACTTTACACTAGATATGACATTAGAGGTTTGAACAAACCCAACAGACCCTGTTTGCCCAACTATCCAACCACGACAGACAACTTAATGTGATTTTTCAGACCAAGGGTAAAATGTGCTGGCTTTTGTTCAAAGCTCTGTATAACCATGCACCATCCAAGTAAACTTCGATTCATGACTACTAAGCAAGTTACACAAAGAAACTGTGCTATAGATAATGGAAAAAAATCTTGTGAGGATATGCTGAGCAGTTATTTTGGAGGAGAAAGAAGGAAGCATCCCTCACATCCATTAACAGTTGACACCAGAGTGGGGCCTTCTGGAGAGCAGAAAGTGCTTTCTTTGTCTTCGTGTTTTCTATCCAGTCTGTGTAGCAGCCAGCTCAGGACCCTGCTCACAACATTTGTATCGATTGAAACTGCTAAGGCTAAGTGCTAGACTGCGTTGGTTCATATAGCTTCTGAAACCAATCAAATTCACCAAACAAAATCCTGAACTGCTTCTCTTAAGCTAAAAGAAGCAGATATTCTGTAAGAAGCTCCAATGTGAGAGAAGATACAAGAAGTGACTTGCAATCCCTGGAAACTGGATTCGCCGCCTGGGCTGACTGATCCAGAGGCAAGACAGGTGACTGACTCTGTGCCTGCTCTGGTGCTGACACTCGTGCACCACCAGTTCATTTGCAGAAAGGGTCTTCTCTGAGCAGCTTTAGCTCACATCTATTCTGACATTTGGCTTGTTTCCCAAATTCTTGCCACCTGGTCCTGCTCTCAAATCAAATGCTTTCCCATCTAATGAGGTTGCCAATGCCTCCATGCATTTCAAGCAGAGAGGAGCAGCCTGAACTGACTTTCCTACCTCTCTCCAACTGCAGTCCTCTAGCCTGAGAGGTCAACAAGATGTCCAAACTTAGAAGAGAAATTCATATTTCCAGATAGTGAAAAATTAGACTGCTGTTCCCCTCTGAGTCACACCTAAATCTGATTCTTTTCAGGTCAGTGAGGCAGATGGTTCAGGATCTTAAGGACAGAGAAAAGTGTAAGAATTCATATGTCCTTTATTTCATGTTCAAGATGGTAACCACCACTGATAGATCTTGCTGGTACTGCTTGCAACATTTTCTAAAAGTGAGACAGCTTCAGAAGTCTGAGCAGTGCAAGACCCAACTCCTCAAAGCTGAAGCAATGTATGTAGACTTAATGGAATAGGTGTGGTGATAGACAGGAGTGTCGCCTGCAACCCACAGCCACACAGGACACAGATGCACAAAGATGGGTTTTTGATTCATTTTCTTTCTTCCACTGAAGCAGTCATAAGACCCTCCATGACATCTAGACATAACCCTGTTACCTCACTTGAGACAGGTTCAATGATCAAAGCTGGCCACAAATTCCTTCATTTTGAGGAAAATGGAGGAAAGTTTCTCTCTAGTCTGTAATTGACATATACAGAAGATACAAATGTGCACCCCAAAGAAAGTGTGTCACAAAGAGGCCTTGCAAAAACATCCTACACATGTGAGTATAATTTATCTTCCAGAAATGTACCACACAGATATTTATGTGAGTGTAATTTACTTTGTAGTCTATTATTTCCCTGACTTCTGAGGAACAACTTTTAAATTTTCAGGTGGTTTCCTGAAAGTCTTCATGAAATCCAAAAGTTCAGATTAAAAAAAAAAAATATGAGCTACAGAAAAAAAAAAAATTTAATCATGTGGGAATTCAGAAAATCCAGTTTTTAGCCTCCTAAGTATAAATTGCCATTTTAGTCTTTTGTCATTCTGTTGTTTTGTTAGCCTGTATTTAATAGCACAATCGTTTCCTCAAAGACAGAATGGCAACAAAAATTTTGTCATTTTAATGCCTTCAAAAGTCATACCTTTTAATACCTTAAAAAGTTTGAAAATGGCATTTGCCTTTTCAAATCAAATTCCCATTTTCATACGATACTTAAGCCTCCCTAGAATACCAGTTTTCCTACCTTCACAAATCTTCTGAAGACCTAGAAGACTTGTTCACATCCCATCAGTTTGTTTTGGGTCACCCTGTGATCGGCTATTCTTAGCTAAAAGCTGCAGGAAAGAGTGTATTAATGAATGCTCTAGCCCACACACTCTTAAGGGTCACTACACATCCCTCCTCCCCAATTGAGCATCACATCTTACTGAAATGAGGGAGAAACGCTCTTCAATGAAGCAGGATGCCTATCATAACAACAGTCAGGAGGAGGAAATGAATACGTTAGAGTACAGACTTCAGATCTATGAATACCAGTTTTATTACAATAAATTCACAGAGTAAAAATTTAGCAGGAACACAAAGAAGTTCCTATTAAAGATGATTCAGTGTGTCTGAAGAAGAAAACAGTAACAGAGAAAGGGGAGCTTTTAACACAGTAAATATTTGTTCTAGTAGACAAAACAGAGCAATTTATACTGATATTTTGAAGAGCTTCCAGGAAAAGAGGTCAGTTTCAGAAACACTAAGGAATGATAGAAGTCACTGAAGCTTTACCCACCCTTGACCACAATTTCTGCATTTCCAGTGTCTGCTTATGTCAGTCGTAGAAGCAAGATGGGGAAAATGCAGAAATGACAGAGAGTCAGGGCAATTTCTAAGGGTTAACGGGTGATCTGGGGCTGGATGGAGGTCCAAGATTTAGTCAAGGGAGAGTAACCCCAGCTGGTTTTCCAATCTTAACCTGACTACAATATGACAATGATTGCTATGATTGTTATTATAGAAGCCATTGCTGTATGGAAGACTTCAGAAGGTTTTTAAAAAACGTTTGAATAAGTATAATTTATTTTTAAAGGGTACAATTGAAAGCAATCAACTTTGAACATGAAATTAACATGACTCTGCCCGAACTCACAAGTTAGAAGCTCACATGCCCCATGCCTTTGACTACAGCCACAGGATCAGTGTGGGTTTTATGTCAACCTCGCTGATCATAGTATAAAACTCTTCCTGTTCCTTGGAGCTTCAGAACAGTTTTCTAAATGAAAAAGATAGCATTTTTTTTTCTGCTGAAAAGCACAGGAGAAGCTTTGCCTTTGGAGAATAAATCGACCATAACGAACAGACTAACCTCTGAGTACTAACGTTGAGAGGCTAAGTGCCACCACTTGTTTTGCTCAGGCCCCAGTCTGTGTCAGTTTGCATGTCTGAATTATGTGCTAGAGGTGAGAAGGTGTCAATATCTCCTTATCATGAACTGCTTCATTTATCACTCCCTTGTCTCACATCTTTCTGAACTTCCTAATCTAATTAAGGAAAAGAAGGAGGTTCCATTCAATAATGGAATATTAAACCTTTTATAGGTTTCTGGTCAAACAACCAAGTCATTAGATGCATTCATTTACCATCCACTCGTGTGGTCCCAACTAGTAGGAAGCCTGCCTGGGCACACTACTCTAAGCGCTGAGGAAGATTCCAAGATAGATGCCTCACATTTTTGTGTCATCTGGTTGCAGAGAAAGGCAATAGTGAATAAGGTAAACCAACCTTGCAAAACTTGTATGGCAAGTACAGTCTCATCTTCGAGAGATGAGAATCACCGGAGATGAATTCCAGGTGTGCCTGAAGCTCATCAAAGACCGCAGTTTGGGAATCACTGGGAACCCCAATGAAGACTGGAAATGATTGGGATTGTGAGGTATCAAATCACAGCCAAGAACCAAGGAGTAAAGAAAAGAAGAGGAAGAATATTTGCACAGAGAAACAAGTTCTCCACACTGTATGTTCTAGGACACAGATATCACACACATCGCACACACCCCAAGCAAGTGCAAAGACACAGTTCTCTGTGATTTGTGCTCCAAAGACATGACTTTAAGAACAGGAGTAGAATTCTCTATCCTGTTTTCTAATTGAACTCAGAGACTTAAGACAAACTTCTTTCATGCCTTGACACCCACTAATGTATGTATATATGATGCCCACACGAAATCTCCTGACTCAACTGTCTGTTGTGTGTACTAGTGAGTGCTGGAAAGGAAATCAGATTGAAATTTCCACATGCACACAGATTTTATGGGCGATGATTTCCAAATTTTATTAAAAAAAAGTTCTCAAAAATACAAATTTCAATTAAAATGGAAATGCCAGAAGAATACTACTGGCATCTAGTGGCAAGAATCAAAAGGGCTCAAATCATCCACCAGGAATCCCCCAACTGCTAGTGGTGCCAAGGCCAGAAACCCAGTTCCAGGACTTCTATATGAGGTGAAATGGGAGGAATTTCTTTAGAAATTAGGAGCAGCCCCTCTTTTCAAATATTTCCCTCCATCAGATAAAAATTTTGTAACCTATCATATCCTACCATGTAACCTACCATCCCTCCCTCTTGTCCTTTCAGCAGAAACTAGAATGATTTTTGTGCTTCCTCATTCTTATGACTTTCATTAATCTGTTATGACTTTCATTAATCTGTTGCATACAAGTCTCTTAATAATAAGACATTCTCTTTAGAACTGAAAAGGAAGCGAGTGGATGGACAGACGCATGGATGAGTGGATGAGTGGATGAGTGGATGAGTGGATGGGGGGGTAGGAGGATGAGAGGCTGCAGGAATGGGTTACTGGGAACTAGGAGAATAGGGGTGTAGGTGAATAGGAAAAATTAGAAAGAAGAAAGAAGCAGGAAGGGAATCTGCTTCAGAAATGGAAAACAATTGAATGGCTATCAGTAACACTTCAACAAGCTTTGTAAGGGGTACACTTCAATAATCTTTTTTTTTTTTACTTTCAGAGAAAAAATGATCCCTATGCTCTTGCATCCCTGGTGTCCTTTGAAGTTCAGAAGATGCCATATAAAGATCAGCCAGCAAAACTCCCAGAAGGAAGAATAGCAGTGAGTACCTTCAATCATATATGGGCACAAATAATGAAAATAACATCTTAAGGTTAACGCTCAATTGGGAAGCATGTCCCTCTTCAGAGCATTGCTTTCTTAATTCAGAACATTTCCTGCTACCTTTTGATCTGGGATTTTAATTTTGGTATCTTAGGACCGTGTGTTAATGAAGCCATTTTGTTACAGAGAAGTCAGATTGCAATGAAAGCTATGACAAAGTCAGACTCATATTTTAGGTGAGTCCAGTGGGCAGGAATGAAACTTCTCTGTGGGGAGCTCACCATGGACCATGACTTTGGTCATATTTCCAAAGAGCTATTAATTCTAATTTGAGAAAAATGAAAGAATACATCGTGCACTTCAGATGAATGAAATGCCATTCATCATTTGTCAGAACTAGGATTACTACTAAACATCACTGACCCTCAGATATCCCTGGCAGAACAACCCCCTACATCTTTGGCAAGCAAGCAAGGTTGTCCAGAGAAAAGGGAGGTCTGAGTGGGCGGGGATCAGTAGGCTCTGCCACTCAAGCTATGCCTTTTTCAGGTGTTTTGAAAAATTCAGACCACACTGTCTATTCCATACATGTTTACAACCCTCAACTTAAACTCCTGGTCCCCAGGTACTTATTATTCAAAATGTGGTTAGCAGACCTGCAATTGGCCTCACCTGGGAGCTTGCCAGACCTACAGGAGGAAACCCTTGCTGAGTCTCCCTCTGCTTGTTATCAGAGCATTTATTCAGGGCATCCATGACAGAGCATCTAAGTTAAACTGTTGTCACGTCTTCTGAGCCTTGCCTTTCTCCATAAGAGTTAATCCTCCTTATTGAATCTACTATGATACTTTCACTGAAATTAATGAATGGATGGGTGATTCTCAGCACCTGCTATGCTGAGACGCAGAGAGGAAAATCTAAGGCTGTCCAGCTAAAAGTGCTTGGCCCCCACCCTGCCTCTACTTCACTGGAATCAGGAAAGCTTTGGGAAGTCACTTTGCTTCTCTGAGGCTGATGAAACTGTTAAGAACAGTCATAAAATAGCACACATTCTCATGATGCTGTAGCATTGAATCCAGAGCAACTCAATCTCAAGTCTCATCTCAAAGTAGGGCATCTTTTCTTCTCTAAGTCCTGCAAAAGCCCAAATTTGAAATGACAGTGAAAATTTACACAGGCCAAAGGTTTGAAAGCAAGCACCACGGCCTCCCTTCTCATTTCCATCATCTCTTTCTCTCACACGAGACGGCTCTTGGAGGTTGGATTTATGTTCAATGCAGAAAGCAGAGGCTTTGGGATTTTAATATAGAGCGTTCATCCCAGATGTTCAAAGGCTTGTGGTTCACAGTGAGATAAGCACTTTTGTCTGCTCTAAGCATGCGCTCCCTCACAGAAACACATGTTGCCAACAGCACTGCTTCTCTCGTGGCTGCCACAGGTGACAGCCTGCTGTTCTCAGCTCATCTCAAAAGATCCACAAAATGATCCAATACATGCTTTCCCTATGCCACCACCCGTTACCACATTGAGAAAAGAAAAATTAAAAGACTTGTTATCTGATGCAGGTGATTTACTACACCCTTTCAGTAAAGGTTATTGGAAAAACATTTGGAAATTGGCAGTGCTTTCAAGTCTCCCAATATCTGATTAACTGGAACAGATCTTGCCAGTACAGAGTCAGCTGTGCACCACAGGGAAACAGTCTCCTGAGGCTTGATTTGAAAGAAGCATTCTGATCAGAGCTGTTAGACTTTTGTTTCTAAGAAGTCCTTCTCAAAGGTCATGTCATTCTTCTTTCGAAATAAACCCAGGAGAAGAGCATTGTTTTATGGGGGAATACAATCAATTGGAATTGGTGGTTTGAGGATCACCAGAACTTCCATTTGTAAAAGTCTCTTTGGTTTTGTTTGTTTGCTTGCTTGCTTATTTTGTAAGGAAACTATATACTATTTGCTTGTTTTCCTGGACTCTTGTGTGGAGTGATTAGTTGGTACTTCATTTTCAGGGTAATTGTAATTCAGTCATTTCTTGAAGCCCAAGTAACTTTACATATAGAAGATTGCAGGCCTTAGCTGGTTTTTGTTTAATTACATTTCATTTTATGACACAGTTTCATAGGCTCTGGGATTCCCCCAACCCCTCCCCGAACCATTTCCCCATGATGGATTCCTCTACCTTATTGCAGTATTACAGTTCAGATCCAGTCATGATTCTTTCATTGTAAGCATGTACCATGCATAGAATCCAATATCTTATTGTACAGATAAATTCAACGATTTTCTTGGGGAGATCATCTCTGGTCTGAAAGCAGAGCTGGCAGAATATCATCCCGACCAATTAAAAGCCCCAACATAACATCAACAACAGTTTACAACATTATGGAGTTAATTGACATGGTATTGAGTGACCACTATGTTAGAAAATGCAAGATCTTAACCACGTCCTGTGACTACTTTATTGACATCTCTATTTTGGTTTATTCACATCTGGCTGCTATACATCTTAAAATGGCTATAGGGTACTATTTGGCTGTCTTGTATCTATTTTCATTTTAGTATTTAGCAGTTTATAGTGTTGAAGCATAATTTTTATTGAACTGGCAAGTTTTAGGATAGTCCAAACTGGCATATAACTCTAAGACAGCATATGTTAACAGCTGAGTCGCAGAGCTTAGCTGTGTTTGTAACAAATGAATTCCTCATGTGGTATGACAGCGTCCTGTACAGAGGTGAGGGAAAGACTGTATAATTTCAAGTTTGTGACTACACACAGAATCCTTTCTGTGTGACTGAACAAAATCCTTCAATTACTTGGACATTGTTTCAGGTCACTGGTAACTGTGAGCATTTGCATGTCATGCAACCGAAGTCCAAAAATTTACAGCATTTTCAAAAGCAGTTATTAGATCATATGAAACTTCCGATTTTAAAGCTCATCCCTAAACAGTAATACATTTGATTTCCAGAATTGTTAGCAGAACATGGCCCCTGAAAGTGGACTTCTTACAGTCAGCAATTGTTGGCAGTGAGGACTGCTTTTCCCATAGGGTCATTTAAATAGTGACACGGATGCTCAGCTGGCCCACTTTATGTTATTATTTTGTTCCAAATGGCACAGTGGGTAGAGTGTCTTCATGAATTTATTTAAAACACTCTTCTGACCCCACTGAAGTATGTTTACACAAGATTTTGTGATGCATAAATACAGCTGTCAGCATTAATTACAGCTGTAAATACAACAGAGCCCTCTCCTTCCACCTTGGTATTTTTTTGTCAAAATATATATGAAAACATAGCATAAATGTCAATGATAAAATATAGGCAATACTAAAGGCTTATTTATGGTCTTTCCACCTTCACAAAGAACAAAAAGATTTACAACCTAATGAAGGTAAGATTAAATGTTCCCTACTTAGGATCACTTTAAGAGAGTCTAAACTGCTTACAATTTATGGTTCCTACTTCCTAAAATTGCAGATAAACATAATAAGTGAATTGTTAAAATTTTATGCTACTGCTTTAAAAGACTCCAAGTTAAAAATAAATAAAAATGTATTTAAACAGTTTGTTGATTAGCTGGCACACACTTGGAATTTTCTCCTTAAGCTTTAAGCATGTTAGCTACTCTCCATTTCTCTTCTTTCTTAAAGCAGTTGAAATATCTCATCACAAGCCTGCATTCTGAGAATTCACTGTTGTGCTCAATACACCCCATGCTCTGTCTTGGGACCACCTTTCAATGACAGGCACTTAGAACAGGAGACTCAGCCACTCCAGCTACTCTCCCTACTCTGGAGATGCAGAATCCAGCGTAGTAGCTGCTACTCAGACATGGCTATCCAGGACCTGAAATGTGGCAGATGTCACTACAGAATGGACTTATTGCTTGATTTCATTTTAACTCACTTATAGGCAAACTGAAAACACAAAGTACCACGAAGGATCTTCACAAGCTTCATGAAATGTTTGGTTTATCTTTTCATTTTGTTCATTTTTCCCACAAGTGTTGAAGCCTCCTCCTAGAAGGTGCTTCTCTCATTGGCCAGAGTCATTGTTTTCATGAGATTGCGTTTCACTTTAGCCACAGAAAACAGCAACTAAATGTTGAAGTGATCCTTATCTTTTAAATATTTTACTTCAGAATAGTTTTAAATTTAAATTATGACATTGTAACCCAAAATATTTCCATGTAACTAATCACCCTGCTTCCCCCATTAATATCTCATATTTATAGATTTGTCATATTTACAGATTTGTAAATGAAACACATCCAGCTTCCACTATTTTGTTATTCAAACTCTAGCCATCTGACCCCTCCTAGCCTCATGAATCAGCATATGAGTTCAAATATAACCATCTCTCTTATCAGTAACAAACAATGATCTGTTAGAAGCAGATAACTGAATGTTGAAATGATAACAGCTGTATCATTAATAGATCATAGTTGATGTTTAGGGTTAATCAAATAATAAAATGCATTTCCCCTGATTTTCACTCTTTTAAATTTGGCAACTAGCAATTTTCATTGCAAGTCAATTACAGATCAACTATTTGTGAAATGCATGTCAACGTTATGATAAGTGAATGCCAACTTCATATTAAGCACATGCCAGACACATGTCTGCTATATGTCAGGCCCATGAAAATCAATTCCTACTACATGTGACAAGTGTCACAACTGCATGCTAATCACTCAGATTGCTTGATAATGCCAATCACATGTGAAATACATGCTAAGCATGTGCCAATCATGTGTGGCCCACACACCCAGTAATGGCATTCACATATGATCTGCATGTTATGCAAAATATGTATTAAGGACATACTAGTCACATGCCTATTACATGTCAAGTAGAATATAAGTGTATGTGATTCAGATGCCAACTACATGCTAAATGCATGAGAGCTGTGTGTAAGCAATGTGCCAGTACCATAAAAACTACATGCTATACATTAAGCACATACAAAATACATTTCAAGTATATACCAACATTCCCTGACAAGGAAGATTCCTAAGACACCAAGCACAGTTCTGGGATTCTATCCTCTTCTATGGAATGGTGGTTAAATCATACCGTGGAGTTCTTGAGTGTGCTGCTGGCTGGCAATCATGATTTTTTTAAGCAACACACTTAAAAGGAGGAACACCTAGACCAGCTTGGTGATGGAGGGAAAGATGACTGCTCTCTAGTTTTAACTAGATTTGCCTGCCATGCTGAATCTTGTCTGGATTCCAACATACATTTATTGCTCTTTTCTTTGACAAAAGGGTTTAACAGCATGCCTGGGTTCTTGGTTTTCACGGGGGTCTGCAGCTCCCTTGCTGTCTGGACCTCCAAAGACAGCACCCCATAAACATGTGAGCAATAGAAGTACTTCTTCTATCACATGGGATGGGGAGCAGGGATGCTCCAGAGACCACAAGTGTGCAGTGTGTAGGGAAAGTCTTTCTCCCAAGCTGTCTTACAATACTGAGGAGTGAGCTGTGCTGCAATCTTTGGGTACTTGCTTTAATTTAGCATCTGAAAATTGGATTTAGGACTGAAGGCATATCCAACACAGCAAGACAATTTAAGTCCTTGCTAATGGACTCTACAACTATATAAAATGCAGGATGGCTAACTTAATGATCTCAGCTGCCCTTCCTCGATAAAGCACAGAATCTGTACTTAAGACTTCTTGCTAACACTAATCAGTGGTGTGAACTCTTTAGTCCCTCTGAGACTTCATTTTCTCATCTGTAAAATGAGAGGGTTAGAGGATTTCTAACAGTCATATCTAGCAGTTCAAAGTTGTTCATAAGCTCACCTCTCAATGAGGTTCATTGAGTTCTATGGCCACACGTGTTCAGACTTGGTATTTTAGAGTCCCTTTGTTTGTTACAAGAAAAGCCCAGTGGATTCTTTCCTTATCTCAGTATAGAAATAAAAAGCTTGGAGTTGGCTACAGACAGAGAACTTTTATTTATGAAGTGACCGAGTGAACATAGAAAAAAAGGGAAAGAGAAAGCACCTCATAGGAGAGGGCCAGGAGATGGGGGACCTCTTAAAAGGAGAGAGGGAAAGACACCCAGTTTTTGGAAGGGTCTTGGGATTTTAAATGTTCCCTGACCCCTCCTTGTCTGGGCAAGAACCTGTGAAGATGTTTCCCATTGATGGTCTCTCAACCAGTTAGGAAATAGCTGGGCAGTTCTTGCGCCATCACTTGAAGGTGTGGCCAATATTTTAGCAGTCTCATTGTGGACACTATTGCCATAAAAAGTTCAGCCCAGGAGCTGGCATTATGACATAGTGGGTAAAATTGCAATGCTGACAACCTATATAGGTACCAGTTCATGTCCCAGCTGTCCCACTTCCAATCCAGCTCCCTGCTATTGGCCTGGGAAAAATAGAAGATGGCCCAAGTGCATGGGTCCCTGCCATCCATATGGGAGACCTGGAAGAAGCTCCTGACCCCTGGCATTGGCTTGGTCCAGTCCATTTTTAAAAAATTTGTTTTATTATTAATTACATTGCATTATGTGACACAGTTTCATAGGCTCTGGGTTTCCCCAACCCCTCCCCGTACCCTCCTCCCATGGTAGATTCCTCCACCTTGTTGCAGTATTACAGTTCAAATTCAGTCAAGATTCTTTCATTGCAAGCATATACCAAGCATAGAGTCCAGCATCTTATTGTCCAGATAAATTCAACGATTTTCTTGGGGATACCATCTCTGGTCTGAAGGCTGAGCTGGCAGAATATCATCCCGACCAATTAAAAGCCACAACATAACAACAACAGTTTACAACATTATGGAGTTAATTGACATGGTATTGAGTGACCACTATGTTAGAAAATGCAAATTCTTGACCACATCTTGTGACTACTTCATTGACATTTCAATTTAAGTTTATATACAACCGGGGTCCAGCCCATTTTTGTGGCTATCTAGGCAGTGAACAAGCAGATGGATAATTGAAGGATATCTGTCTCTCTGTCTCTCTCTCTCTTGATCTGTGTGTGTGTGTAACTTTGACTTTCAAATAAATTAGTGAATCTTTTAAAATTAACGTGCAGCCCAACTTAAGACCCCTCATAAGCATGTTATTGGTTCTTGGCTCACCTCATTCCTGTCCTGGAGTTTCTGTGGTTATGAGCACCCACCAAACAAGTGTCAGTCATATGACATTGACCATTGTGCAGGCCTGGGAATGTGCTAGTTTCAAAACACTCACGGTCAAGTACTATAACCTCTTAATTCTCCTTCAGGAAAATTTCGATTATTATGTGGGTTCTTTCAGAATTATCCCAAGCATTATACTGGTAATGACTGCTTCATTTCATTAAACAGTTTACAAATTAGAGCTCATTTGCTTTATTTTCCATTTCAGATTAAGACATCAGTTATTTGGGCGACCCCAAATGTTTCCTTCTCAATCCCACTCTGGGTAATAATATTAGCAATACTTCTTGGATTGTTGGTTCTGGCTATTTTAACCTTAGCTTTATGGAAGGTAAGTTGATTTAATTTATTTCCTTTTGGACTGAAATAACCAGTAAGGGGATTTAGAAGTACATCTGAGGGATTTAAAACGACAATGCTGGAGGCAGGATTTAGTCTTTTTGAACAGTCACAGGACACAAAGAAAAACTAGTGTCTTGCTTGCTTTGACATACATAATGTGCTTATGTAGCTAACATAAGAAGACAGAGTTTTTAATATTGCTTTCATCTTTTCTTTTCAAAAAAATGAGTAGGAGATCTTGTGAATAAATACAGTTAGACTTTCTTAACTAAGACCTGTGATCCTCTTTCCAATCTGCTTGGAGTGATGATGTTATGAAGTCTGCTTTTTCTTGTTCAGTTAACCCAGATCTTAAGCTTTTTCTATTGACATGAGCTTATCATCAATCCCTAGAGATCTGTCATTGTAAGTACTGCATAGATGCAATTAATAAAGGTCAATTCTGGTTTTTTTTTATTCTAACCATCAATCAGACCAAACTGATCATGAATGTTAAAAAATGACTGCACTCGTTTCTTAATCTTGTCACTTGTCCTTTTGCATTAGGAAACTCTAATTCACTCTAACTTACTCTAGTCAATTTTTTCCTCTTGAGTCAATTTTTACTGATATTTGTTCTAAAATTCTACAATGAGGATTAATTTCTGTCACAAAAATCTGTACAACTGCCAAGTTTGCCAGGCTCTTCTAAACTCCAGTGTCACAATCACAGGCCTCTAAGAAAAATTAACCTAATCACATTAGTTACCCACTATTGTCATTTAAAAATAATACACAGAAGCAGACACTGAGTTTAGTAATTAAAGACACCTGCATCCCATGTTACAGTCTCTGGATTCAATTCCAAATTCTGGCTTCTGACTCCAAATTCTCCCCAATGCAGAAATGGGGAGCAGAGGGGGCAACAAGGTGGGGAGAAAAGGGATGGGTTCAAGTCATTGGGTTCTTGCCACTCAAGTGGAAAATCTAGATTATGTACCTCATTCCTGGCCTAGGCCTGCCCCAATTCCAGCCATTGAGAACACTTACAGATAAAAAATGGGTGGAGTTCTCTCCTTTCTAAATCAATTTGTGTTTTTTTAATTTAAAATAATCTACATCATGCTTAATGGACCTATAAGCTTAGAAAACCTTAGCTTTGAGTTAAAGAATAGTATTTTTGATCATCATCTTCAGGGTTTATTCCTTTATTTGTCTGCTTTGACATGCTAAACTCAATCAGTATTTGACATACCCTTAGAAATGGATTTTTGTATTGCTGTACTATTTATAGTAACTGCTATTCTTCCAGTGAACATAAGATGGAATCATTTATACCAAATTACAGATTGCCACACAAAGATCACTTGATAGTGATAAGCCAAACCCAGGCTTCAAACCTGAGAAACAATAAACATAATTGAGATGCAAGGTTTCTAGGAAAAAACTACATTGTCTTTGGCAAAATACTAAGTAGAAATGTGCCTTCCTCCCTGAACTGCTGGTTAATCTTTGCAAAGTCAACAAGATATCTCTGTCTGCCGGATGCCTGGAAGTGATCCAGCAAATGAAATTGTCCTAAATATACTGCATGCTCCACCGAGTGTAGGGGCTATGTGCAGCCATCTCCCCATTTCTCATTCCAAGGTAGCCAGCAACATACTTCAGGAGTAACATCCCTTTCCTGCTCAGCAGCTAACATTGCTATTGGTTTCCAGACAAGGAGGGAAGCTCAGTAGGAATCCTTGAGACAACACTACTGTGATCCCAGAAAAGTATTCCAGGTCTGGAGGGGTTTGGTGAAAACAGGCACATTGTACCGTGTCCACCTCATGGCAGGAGGAGCGTGCAAGCCCGCTGCCTGTGCCCAGCTGATCCTGTACAGTGCAGGCAGACAACACGCTGCTGATGCCTCCTCATTCAGAGGAAAGGGAAGGTTGCTTCCACAGAGCTGCCAGCTCCTTACAGATTAGATGGAATGCGTGTTGCTTCAAATGTATTCTGCATGAAGTCCCCCAGTGGCTCCATTTCACAGCTCTTTCATCTGTTTTGCAGTGTGGCTTCTTTGACAGATCAAGACCGCCACAGGATGATATGACTGACCGTGAACAGCTGACAAGCGACAAGACCCCAGAGGCGTGACAAGAAAAACAAAGGTCAAAGGACATGCACACTGGTCCTGTGCAAAGACAAGAAAGAACATCGGGGTTCAAATAAAGGTTTTCCTGTACCTGCCTGTGACCTCAGATATGGAGAGACCCCTGAAATCATCGCTTCATCTACAAAATGCTTTGGAGAAATTGTCACAGGCCCAGGGAACATTTTGAGAAAAGAAAGGCCAATACTGTGCAAGTAATCAGCAGTTGTGCACGACTTCTTTTGCTCCAGTCACTCTGTATTTGGCAGACACTTTGAAATGGGTGTGGGGCCTCAGGTGGCTGTCTGGGAAAATCCAACTGAAGTTGCAAAGATGAGATGTCAGAATGATCATAGACCTGAGAAGGTGAACTCAGACCAAACTGTCCAACACTACTGTATCAAACGGATTAAGTGACACCTCCCTGTGGACGAGAAGTGTTTCTGATGACACTGTGGCTCAGGGAGACAGGCCCTATGTCATTGGTACTGTGAAAGTACGTTGGAAACCACAAAGATACTCTCATAAGTGAGGATAAACATGTATTTATTTATTTTCCATCCTCTAGGTTGAGTGTCTGATCATTTAGAGGATCTGGAAATTGAGATTTGGTTAGTTCATTTTTCACTGAATTTCCTCCTCAGATCACCACTGTGTGCAGATTACTCACACAGAATCAGAGACAGTGTTAAGGAAAAGCAAATCAATATTGCTACTTTCTACCTGAAATCACTGATAGCCATGTTATTCAGGAACTCATATCTGCTTTAACCAGCTTTGAAAAGCATGTTATTTACATATTTCCTTGTATATACATACATGTCTCTTCATTGACTTGGTTAACACATGAATGTAAAGATACTCTCCACACTTTATGGTATTTAAAAGGAAAATGTCTTGAGGTTATTAGTATTAACAAGCAATTTAACAATATGGATAAAGATTATTTTTCAATACTCATAAGAAGCAACGCCAATATTTAGCTTGAGATTAAGTAACCAATTTCCACGCTATACATTCTACTTATCAAGCATAATTAGGATGGAAATGTGAAGCTATGCAGGTGTGAGGCAACTCTAGAAAATTGGCTCTTAAGTATTTCTTTAAAATTTCTTATTCCAACACAGTGCTTATTTTTACATTTCATGTTTATAGTGCATAACTCTGGAGAATATTCTTTTATTTAAGCCTTTTGCTAATCCTCTGGAATTTAGCCATCAAAAGGAACTGATGCTTCAGAATTCTTGTAAATAAACATATTCATGTGTAGTATTATCATTTTGAAGTAAAATTGCTAAATTCATAGTCTGCACAATTTTGTATCCTTTTTATAATAATGGAAAATAGCTATGAAGAAGAAATGCTGAACAAATTTTTATGTGCAATATTTTATAAACCTATGTGTCTGGGACATGTTTACACTGGCACTAATTATTTTTAATTGATATCTTGATGATCAAGTATGATAGAAAAAGCTAAACAAAATCTTAAAGTTTACACAGCAGTTGGAAAAATTAGTGCCCCAATTTCAATAATGACACATTATTTGAAAGAAAGCTGAACTCATGGACACTAAATTTTTTGCCAGCCTTAACCTGGAGGGAAGCCAAATGGCTCCAAGCTGCAGAACTTCACTGGGAAGCAAACAAAAGGCACCTGGCAGAAAATGCTGTTGCCATGCATGTTCTCCCGACCTGGAAACTAAACCCTGTCTGGGAGGAGCCCCTGTCTGTCTAACTCACAGTGGCTGAGCCACAGGCACTTGCCTCAGAGTGTCGGAGGATCCCACATTGGCCACTGGAGTCCCCAGTGTTAAAACTATTAATGTGCTGGGTAGTTGTAGCTGTAAGAGTAGGAGGCCATGTGCAGTTTTTTCTACCTGAGTCAGGGCTTTCATTCTTGTGCCTGACCCTGACCAATAGAAAAATTAGCACTTTGGGATCTTGACTCATAAGAGCTCCCTCCCCCAAGACAATGGACTCCTTGCCTTTAAGATAACATTTACTAAAGAATGTAGAACTCATCTGGCTATCATGGGTGGGAAAGCTTTCCTTTGCCAAGGACCATCTGGATATTCCTAACATCCTCTACAGGCCACCAAAAAAACCAAACCAAAACAAAACAAAACACACACACACACACACACACACACACACACACACGCACACACACACACACACACACACACAAAACCCTAGCAACTTAAAATTTAGCCTGCTGCCTTGGCAGGGCCAAAACAAATGATATCACAGGCCTTCCTGATAAATACACATACAGTTATGCAGAACTAGTTGCTATGGACACCTAGCAGAAACTAGAAATGCCAGGAGGCAGCCTGGAATCTTTAATGGAGCCAGGCATCAGGGTTTTAAGAAAACTTGGTACTCCTTCAGTCTCCACCGAGACTGGTTACCTTGTTGATGGGCACCCCAAGTTGCTCACAGGTATTGCTACCGAGGGCCATTGCAGAGATCTGTCACACGCATGCACGTAGTAGCCCATGTGCCTTAGGATTTGGAAGCAAGTGCATGAAGGGTGAAAAGCAGGGCCAGGTGGAGCCCTCACACCAAGGCCACGCCAATGAGGCCCTGCAGCATTCTGCTTCTTGTTAGAGCACCGCCAATCGCTTTTGTGATTCTCAAGGGCTGTGCTTCTTTTGCAGTCTATCTGTATTTCCCTTCAAAGAATTCCCTGTTTGAATTCTTGCAGCTGGTTTTTAGGACACAGGAAGAATGGAGAAATTGAATTTTATAAACTTAGAGATTTTTTTCTACAGTAAATAAATAACATGTACTAGTTACCATTAAAATCCTTCTCTTAGAATTCAACTCTTGTTTTATTTAAATACATGTGTAGATATCTGTGAAGATTTCCATGTGCCTATTTACCTTGTCACTAATAAAATTAAAAATTAAAGACACAGTAGCATATTTATGGCTATTTTTGTGTGTAACACAGAGGTGACTCATAATGGACACACATCAAAATTTTCCAGTTTTATATCTTGATTCTTTATTGTAAAAATGTTTAACTTAGGAAGAAACCTGAAAGAGCACAATTTAAACACTCCTTTGGATGGTAAAAATGTGTCTTCACTTAGACTGCAGCAATGGTTATACAACTTTAGGTACACTAAAATTTACTGAGTTGTGCACTTTAGATGGGTGGGTTTTATAGCATGTGCATTATATCTAAACAAAGAGCTAAGGGGTAGGAATTTGGACCAGCAGTTAAGACGCCCATCAGCATGCCTACAGCCCATATTGGACTGCCTAGGCTGGAGTTATAGCTCCACTTTAACTCCAATTTCCTGCCCATGTGTGCCCTACAAAGCAGCAGGTGATGGCTCAAGTAGTTGAGTTGTTCTAACCAACCATGTAGGAGCTCTGGATTTGAGCTATAGACCCACAACTTCAGGCATTTGCAAATAACAGGACCCCTCTCTCTCTCTCGCTCAATCTCTCTCTTTATCTCTCCCCTTCTCTATCTCTACTTGTCTCTGTATCTCCTCAAATATATTTTTAAAGGATAATTCTTTAATGTCACCTTTAATGATAAAACCAATTTCTTCACATCACCTTTTAAATACAGTCCATATTCATATTTTAGTTTCTTTATGGAGACTTGCAGCTTTGTTCATCTCAGGGTCCTCCAACACTTTCCCATTGACTTCATGACTATCTCCCATGTGACTGGCCCTTGTTGAGGGCAGAAATCATGTCTTTTCATGTGTGCATTTCCTGTAATCAAGCAAGATTCTAGACAGAAGGAAGGAATGAGAAATATGCACACAGTAATAATCATAGTGAACATGTACTTGTGTGATCCACTTTCACTGCTAAGCACCAAAGAACACACAAATCTGTTCACATCTTCCTATTTGCAATGTTGACATGATATCATCACAGGTTGAGCATTGCTAACCTGAAAATCCAAAATGCTCCAAAATTCAAAACTTTTTGGATGCCAAAATAATATCACAAGTGGAAGATGCTGTATCTAACCTCACATAACAGGTCAGTCAAATGCAAGTGCACTCAGACTCCAAATAGTTGCTTCTCTCACTGGCATGTGGGAATTACACTGAGCAGAACACATGTCTGGGGCTTTCCTAGAGCCTAGAACAAGTAATGGGCAGGATCCTTCCCTTCCTGGCGTGTGTCACTTACACTTCAAAACTTAGACATATCTGAAGATTTATGTTGGTCCAAAGGTGCCTGCATGTACCAAAAGAAAATGTGAAACACTACATCTAACATTCAGTGATATTTGGTGAAGATCAAAGCAACCAACTTGGCACATTTTGCCTAATGCACTATATATAAGGATCATCTGAAGTCAGTGTTGCTGGTTAAGCCTGTACATATTCAGGGTGAAGAAGAGGAAATCTTATCAAGCGTTATATAAAAGTTAAGTGTTCCATACTTGTATCTAAACAGTGAGAGCTCAGTTTTCTCAGCAAGTTCCCTTGATATCTTTGCCACATTCTGCTGTTTTATGTGTCGAAGTTTGACTGTATCAATAGTTTCCAAAAATTGAAATTTCGGTGATTACATTAGGCAAATTTGGATAGAGATCAGGAATAATCTGTATTCCAGATTTCTCTGGAAAAAATTCTCTAATAGATTACACACTTCTGTGAAATACACAACACCATTATATGGTATCTCTGGTCTCAACTTGACCCAGTCTTGGCTATTGAGGCCATTTAAGGAGTGAACCAATAGATGGAATATTCATTCATTCTCTCTCCTTTCCTTGCTTCTTCCTTGACACCCTATCACCCTGTGTCACTCTGCTTTCAGATAAACAAACAAATAAACATCTTTGAAACAAAAAAGAATGACCAGCATGCATAAGGTATAACTCTACTTTTGTTTGAATTCTCCTCACCCCAGCCCCAAAATACCGTCTGACTTGTTTCCTTGCTTCATTTGTTGGCAAGCATGTGGGTTGGCTCTGAAGGGAGTGGACTAGCCAGGGTCAGGCCAAACCAAAGCATGCTGGCATGTGCAGGAGCCAGGATGAGGTGCAAGATAGGCTAAGCTATCATACTTACTAGTTTGCATAGAAACCAGGGATAGGGGACAGGCTGGACAGGGCTAGGCTGCAGTATCTGATGCCAAAGGCCAAGCTGGGAGATGTGTTATGCTGGGCTCGATAAAAGCAACCACTGGCATGAGCAAGATCTGTGTCTGGGAGCAAGCTTGATCAGGGAGCTAAGGGGACACCCCAGCTTATAAGAGCCAGGGTAGGTGTAGGACAGGCTGGGCTAGATCTCTATACACACTGAACCATACAAGAACTGGGTCCAGGGGTGGACCATGTGTGGCTGGGCCGAAGCACCCAACAGTAAGAGCTGGAATGGATTTGGGTTGTCAGGCAGGGCCGTTTTTCTTGCCAGGACAGGAGGTGGGCCAAGTCAGGCTGGGCCAAGGACCCACCAGTGTGTGCAAGATCTGCTACTGGGAAGTGACCTGATAGAGGAGCTTAGGGAACTCTTTTGCCAAGATGCAGTCCCTGCAGGTGGATACAAGAACCATGACTGGGAAAAGTGCAGACCAGGCCAGGTTACAGTACCTACCTGCATATGTGTGGGTCAGGTCTAGGGTGTGGACCAGGCAAGGCCAGTTTATAACACCCACTAGCAGACCTGAGATCCAAGACTGTGTGCAGGATGGGCCAGGTTGGGCCACAATGCCAGCCAGTTCACATTAGAACCATAACTGGGGGCTGGCTGTATTGGGCTAGGTGTAGCACCCACCAGCATTAGCTGGAACTGGAAACAAGCTGAGTGAGACTAGGATGCAGCACCCAATGGCAAATGCCATGGTGAGGTGAGCCATGCCAGTCTGGGCTGTAGTTACTACCAGCACACATAAGACCTAGGATGGAGGGTGAGCTTGGTAGGGGAGTGCCTGTGATCCTCTGATGGCCCACTGCTACGACAGGTTGTGCAGTACTACAAAACCCATTGCATGTGAGCTAGGTTGGGGGAGAGCCAGGCTGGGCTAAGTGACCATATCCACTGGTACTTGTATGAGTCAGAGTAAATGCAGGCTGGTTGGGCTTTGCAGCATCAGCTGGCATGTGTTGGAACTGGGGGTAAGTCCTGTCAGACTAGACCACAGAACTACCTGGAAAGTGTAAAATCCAGGGCTGCCATGATCCCTGGAGGGAAATTGTGGGCACCCCTCTGATGAGATGTAGCTTCCATCAGTAAGCATGAGAACTAGGGCTGTGAAAGTGGTCCCAGCTAGATAAGCAGTGGGCACCCACCAGCATGAATGTGGGCTAGATAGCGGGGTCAGTTGGGTTGAGCTAGACACCGATGCCCACTGATATATATGAGAGCTGAATGGGATATGGGACACATTGGACCAGTCCACTGCACATACTGTTATGCATAGGAACCAGAGCTGGAGCCGGGCCTAGTGGGGGTAATTGGGAATTGCTCTAACTAGGCTGCAGCTCCCACTGAGGGGGTTAAGGGCCAGTGTATGGTAGGTAAGGTTGGGCTGGGTCACAGCATCCATTGGTTTGTGTATGAGATGTGGCTGGGGTTAGAACTGACCAGGTGACTGCAACTAGCAGTGTGTGTGTATGCTGATGTGGGTGATGGACTGAGCCAGACCTCACACTGTACAGCACACACAGGGGTCAGGTCTAGGGTCACCTCTCGCAAGGTTTCTTTGGGGACCCCTGTGCAACTAGATCACTGGACTCAGAACTTCAACCAAGGTGAAAATCACTGGATATGTGGTCTGACTGTGGAGTGCATGTGTCAAAACTGGATCTCCACAGTTGCTTAGACCTGTGCGGTAGACAGCATGCCCACATGCTCATGGGAGAAATGTCAACCAGTTCATTGAGGTCAGCAGAGGACATCTAGTGCCATGGAAGGAAGAACAAATTGGACAGCTCCCTCGACAAATATCTAGGCAAGTCAAGACTCTAAGGTAGACTATGTTAGTCAATGGACTTTGGAAAGGATTTCCTCAACCTTGGAGCGAGCAATGAAATCAACAACTTCTCAGAACTACCAAAACCACTTAAGCAGTATCCTTGGAACATGCTCCACACTGGGGACCCTGGGATGACATCAGGTGGCCTTCCCCCATT